TCTCCCAGTGTTCCCCCTCTTACCTTTTCCTTCTGGGAAAAAAGTCACAAAGTAACGCAGCATAACTATATTTATTTATTTATTTTTAAAACATTTTTAAAAATTATTTTTTATTGGAGTATAGTTGCTTTACAATGTTGTGTTAGTTTCTGCTGTACAGCAAAATGAATCACCTATACGTACACATATATCCCCTCTTTCTCAGATTTCCCTCCCATGTAGGTCACCACGAGCACTGAGTAGAGTTCCCTGCTCTACACAGGAGGCTCTCATCAGTTGTCTACTTTATACATAGTATCAGTAGTGTATATACGTCAGTCCCAATCTCCCAATTCCTCCCACCAGCCCCTTCCCCCTTAGCATCCATAAGTTTGTTCTCTACGTCTGTGTTATAACTATATGTATTTTTGAATCAACACTATTTTAAATACATTTCTGGGGAAATATTTTAAAATCTATTTTAAAGTGGTATTGATTCAAAAATACATATAGCTTTCATTTTAAATATTGAGAGGTAAACATAAAATGATTATGATTTCTATTAGGGTATGAGTATTAGAGTATTTAAGTATAAAATTCAAAAGAAAAAAAAACATGCAGTTAAAAACGGGGCCTCCATCTCATCTCGTCTCTTAGACACTTAGGTTTCTGAGTTAACCTCTAGAATCAGCCTCCTATGTATTCTAGAGCTGTCTATGCATGTTTTTTACTTTGTTTTATTATATTTAAAAAACTATCAGTAATATTGATTTTTATTTTAACACATGTATAGATGCAAGTAACTACCACTATAGTGTGTTTACAGAATAGGATTTAAGCTTTTTTAATGCTTAAAAAATATTTTTTTAAGGGTGGAAATGTAGAAATACTGGCTTTCCCCACCCTTTTTCAGTTTTTTAAAAAAATTAAAGTATAATTAAGATATAGTGAAATTCACCCATTTTATTTATTTATTTATTAAAAATTGAAGAATAGTTGGGGCTTCCCCGGTGGCGCAGTGGTTGAGAGTCAGCCTGCCGATGCAGGGGACGCGGGTTCGTGCCCGGGTCCGGGAGGATCCCACGTGCCGCGGAGCGGCTGGGCCCGTGAGCCATGGCCGCTGAGCCTGTGTGTCCGGAGCCTGTGCTCCGCAACGGGAGAGGCCACAACAGTGAGAGGCCTGCGTACCGCAAAAAAAAAAAAAAAAAATTGAAGAATAGTTAATTTACAGTGTTGTTAGTTTCAGGTGTACAGCAAAGTGATTCAGTTATACATATAAATATTCTTTTTCAGATTATTTTCCATTATAGGTGAAATTTACCCATTTTAAATGTGTATAGTTTGTGTTTTAACAAAATGTGTCATAGGGGACTTCCCTGGTGGTCCAGTGGGTAAGACTTCACCTTCCAATGCAGGGGGCCCAGGTTCAATCCCTGGTTGGGGAACTGGATCCCACATGCATGCCGCAACTAAGAGTTCATATGCTGCATCTAAGAAGTCCCGTACAGCAACTAAGACCCGGCACAGCCAAAATAAATAAATAAATAGGTAAATAGATAGATAAATAAATAAATAAATATTTTAAAAAACTGTATCATAGTGTAGCCACCACCACAGTCTACAGCTCCTGTCAACCACCAGTCAGTTTTATTTTCTCTAATTTTGCTTTTTCCACATGCTATATAAACAAAATGACACAACTTCAGTATGGTTTCTTTCACTTAGCATAATGTGTTTGAAATTCATACATGTTTTTGCTTATATGAGTAGTTTTTTCCTTTATATTACTGAAAAATAGTCCATTGTACGGGTGAACCATAGTTTTTAAATCCATTTCCCAGTTGAGGGACATTTAAGTAGTTTCCAGACATTCACAGGCAGGTTTTGTGTGAACGTAGGTTTTTCCTTTTACTTGTGTAAATACCTAGGGACAGTATTGATGGGTTATTTGCTAAGTGTATGTTTAAGTTTATAAGAAACTGCCAAACTGTTTTCTAATGTGGCTGTACCATTTTACATTCCCACCAGCAATCTATGAGAGTTTCTGTGCAATTTCATCAGCACTTGATACTGGTTGTTTTTTTTTTTTAAGCTATTTTAATAGGTGCATAGTGGTATCACCTTGTGATTTTAGTTTGTATTCCCCTAATGATTAATGATGTTGAGTGCTTGCCATCTATATATATTCTTTGGTGAAATGCCTGTTTAAGTCTTTGCCTACTTTAAAACTGAGTTTTCTTATTATTGTGTTTTGAGAGTTCTTTATGTATTTTGGATACAGGTCTTTTGAGATTTGTGAATATTTTCTCCCAGTCCAGGTTTTCAATTTTTTCTTTTACAGATTGTGCTTTTGGGGTTGTATCTTAAGAAATCTTTGTCTCGCCTGAGGTCACCAAGATTTTCTCCTATATATTTCTTCTAGAAATTTTATAATTTTAGGTTCTACTTTTAGGTCTGTGATACATTTTGAGTTATATTTTTATTATGGTGTGAGGTATGGATTGAGGCTCATTTTTTTGCATATGAATACCTAGTTCTAGCACCATATGTTGAAAATACGTATTTCTCTGTTTTTGAACCTTTGTCGATCAATTAATCATAAATATTGTAAATCAACTGTACTTCAAAAAAACATAAATGTGTGGATCTTTTCCTGGACTCAAACTGTATTATTAATGCTCTTTTGTATTGTGTTAGATAGATGCAGAATGATTTGAAAACTTAGCTGTGTTTAGAATCTGGTATTTATGAACAGTAATTTGTAGGGAATTCTCTGGTGGTCCAGTGCTTAAGACTTTGCAGTTTCACTGCCGCCCCGGGTTCAATCCCTGGTCGGGGATCTAAGATCCCACATCCCGTGTGGTTCGGCCACCGAAAAAAAGATTTTGCTAATGATTCATGATCTATTTGGAAAAACTCGAGTTATTTCTCGTGTACTAAGGATGAACTGGAATGGGTTTTCCCAGATGGCATTTTCTTTTTTGTAGAATTACTTGGTAGTTCACTAATAATATCTGTTTGTTTGTGCTTTTATTATATCATTTTTGATAGTGATAAATTTGGGAGCAGTTCTTTTTTGATTTGAAACACGGTTGTCCTAAGTTAACTACTCTAAAGATTTAATTATTTTAAAAATAGTACCCAATTATTGTTGGTAGTTTGAGATTATTCTTTTTTTTTTTTTTTTTTTTGGGGTACGGGGGCCTCTCACTGCTGTGGCCTCTCCCGCCGCGGAGCACAGGCTCCGGACGCGCAGGCTCAGCGGCCATGGCCCACGGGCCCAGCCGCTCCGCAGCACGTGGGATCCTCCCAGACCGGGGCACAAACCCGCGTCCCCTGCGTCGGCAGGCTGACTCTCAACCAGTGCGCCACCAGGGAAGCCCGAGATTATTCTTTTAAAATTAGATCATATCAATCTATAGAATGAAAGAGAATTATGAGATTTGGCTGGACATTGGTGTTCTATAATAATGTGAGGTTTGAGTTAATCTAATTATCTGGATATTTATTATTTAGGAATTTAGCTGTACTTTGCAATTAACACCTTTTAAGTAACTGTTAAACTTTTAAATGTTGGATTAGAAGTTAAAATGCCAAGAGGCAGGTGTTATTTTAGAGATCGTTGGACAAAATATTGAAGATTAAAACAGACTTTCAAGATTCATAGCTATTTTTTCACATTTTAGTGTTTGTTGATGATTGCTTTTTCTCATTCTTGGAAGGGATACCTGCTCTTAAATCCTATTCCACTTTTAAGATTAGCTTTTTGTCTTTGGAAACCCCACTCCTGTCCTATTACTCCTTTCTTTTTTTGGATAGACTCTACCACACAGTTTTATTATTTTTAATGTGGTAAAATACACATAACATAAAAATTTTCATTTTAATTATATTAAAGTGCACAGTTCAGTGGCATTAAATACATTAACAGTGTTGTACGACCATTATCACCACTGTCTAGTTGCAGAACTTTTTCTTCACTACAAGACCACCATTCTTCTCCTTAGGGACTTCACATTCTGGTGAGGGAAACAAGTAACCTAATGTTTGTGATACAGTGTGGCAAACTATATGTTGGAGCTTGCTATCATTAAGCTTTATTCTTTCAACTGAAATTTTACTTTGAAAAAGCAAAGTAATTTTTGGTTAGGTTAACATTCAAGTTGTCATACCACTCCACACCTGAATTAAATTTAGGCTAGACTGAAGTCTTTAGTCTTTTGACTTAGGTCAGTTCAGGACTCACAAATCCTCATGCCCTCTACTTTGTAACATGAAGGAAACCGGAAAATTGATACTCTGATTTAAAGCCAAATTATGGGCTCTTCCTTTCTCATGGAGCAGAGAAAACCAGGATTAGAGAGAATTTCCTAGTTGTCTGCACCTATCCTCAATTGAGCTGTTTTGACTTATTCTAATTGCAGTGACAGCTTGCTTGATTGTGGTCAAATATGGCATTATACAGGCATGCTTATCTCTTTTGGCAGATCATTAGAGGAATAGCTGTATTTGGGATACTGTGTCAAGAGATTGTTTCTGAATTCCTTGAAACTTTGGAGTTAGAACTTGATGATTTAAAGTTGAATGTTTTAGCAGTTTTAGTTAAAAGCAATGTTGTCAACATTGAACAGTATTGTAATACAGATTTTATTTGCATTCTGCCGTTAGGGTTTATTTTCTGTAGCACAAGATTGTTTAGGAAAAGTGAAACACAATACAACCCTCTGTTTTTAAGATTCTGCAGTCTTCCTAATACAGTCTGTGAAAGAGTTGATAGCCCAAATGGTTGATAATGCTTTAGTTAGCAGTTTCAATGTTCGTCATAGGAAGACGAGTTCACATTATTAGATCTAGACTTCTGATTGTTTTTATAAATTTAAGAAAGTCTGAATTTGTGGCATAGTTTGATTGTTTACGGAAAAAGAAAGAAAAGTTAAAATAACCCCTAGTTTGATTAGTTTTACTAATAATTTTGGCATTTATTGCTTTCAGAAAAAATAACTGTTGTCTTGTTTTTTCAGGGTAATCACTTTGATCAGTATGAAGAAGGACATTTGGAAATTGAACAAGCATCACTTGACAAGCCTATAGAATCGGTAAGATCAGTGCTTAATTTTGGGTCACAGATAGGTAGTGTTCGTGTGACACTTGATGTGAATGAAGTTAAACTTATTAATAACTTATAGTACAGTTTAGAGGTCTTGCATGCCCTACAGTAATCAAATAGAATTTGGGTTGTAATCTAATATTTAATATGTTGGGAAATCAGTGAAAAATCTAGAGACAATTTAGAATTTCGATGGAAAAATATCATTTTTGGCCCATACTGATATCCTGTTAAAGATAGCAAGTTGAAGTTTAGTGTTTTTGTAAATTGAATAAAGGAGTAAAATGTATTTTGATCCTTTAAAAAGCTTCACCTTTCCTGGGCAACACAATCATGTGTGAAATGTTCCATTAGGAACAGTTAAGGACTAATATGTTTTATTTACCAGACTCTTGTGAAACATGGTAATTTCGGTTTCTGTGGCTTGAGATGTCTGGTGTTTGTCAAAAGTTGATTGTATCTTTTCACACAACTTAATTTTAAATATTGATGCAAAGCAATAGAACAAGGAGATTTATTTTCCTGACTCTTAACTTTTGAACATTATTTTTATTTTGAAAAGCCCTTTATTTTCAGATTACACAGCCCATTGTTAAAATGTCTAAACTTGTCAGTATTGTCAGTATTTAATATTTGTGCTTAAGTGTACGTATTTAATAAGGGTTTCAGGAAGTTATTGGTTAACTTGAATGAAAAATCATCAAAGAGAGAATCTCTATAGCAGTCAAGACATCCCCCTTCTCCCTTTAAGAAACACTAGCTTCTCCTCCTCCCTCAGGAAAATAAGGCAATTTAGAGAGCAGATATTTTAACTTTAGCTTTTATTTTCATAACTGTACCATAGTAAAGGATCAACATATATTTATGTTCCTAATTAGGTTGGTGTTGTGTGTGTTTGTGTGTGTGTTTAGATGTTTACAGAAATTTACACAACTTGGGGTGTTCGACATTTTTCTTCCACAGCAGTTGGCCCATATTAGCTAAGCAGCCATGATCTGGTTTGTATTGCACGGTCTGCCTTTTTTTAATTTCTTCTTTAGGGTTTCTTTCTCCCCCACCTCCCCTTCTTATTTCTGTTCTTCTGGTCCAGTGAACACTGCATATAGTACCTCTGTCTTAATGTGCTGGCATGATGCTAGACTTAGGCATGGCAGTAATTGATGACGCATGTGATAATGCTGCAGAGGGAGAATTCACACCTGATGTGCTGAAAGCCCAGTCTTGTTTTGATTTAAGGATAAAATGCCAAGCCCACTTTGCTAAGTTAAAAATCACTGAAGTTGTTGCCTTGTTCTATATCATCTTGGGAATTATCATAAGGTAGAGTTTTACAATAAAATCTGTAGGCTAGCTAGGTCAATACCTTGTACTTGAAAAATAATTTAATTTTTCCATTTTATTTAAATGTTTCTTTGGGTCAAAGTTTAAGAACAGATGGCTGTCAGAAGAAAGGCCCAAGTACCATATTCTACAAGGTACATGGTTGGTTAATATTATACAAGCTATAATTCTGTGGGTACTCTGACTCAACAGTAGCAGGAAATTTAGCTAGACTAAGTTTGCAGCCTAGTAGTCATTATTATTATACTCAAGAAAGTTTTTTTAAAAGCAGTAAATTAAATGATATTTAACATTTTTAAAGCCTTTTAGGGCTACATTTAAAGATTTTTGGAAAAGTCATTCCTTTGGCATGTGGGACTAGTGCTCTTTTTCCTCTCACACTGTCCAGGAATTTTTCCAGCACATGTCATAGGGAGAACACTATCAGAATTCAGTCGGACTGAGTAGTCTCAACAAGTAGGAGTGGAATTGATATATGCCTTATTTATTAAATGGTTATTATCTTCTCCACTAAAAATAGCAAATGGTATATAGTACTCAGACTAGATATTTATTTTTTTATGAGTAGTTACATGTTCAGAGATGTATATTAATAAATTATACTTACAATGAAAATTTACTCCGGAAACACATTAAAATATGCTTTATTTGTGATGTGGTAGTTTAGGTAGTAGGGGAGAGGAGCTTCATAGCCGACATGGTGTTAGATAGAAGTGGGACAAAAAGAGAGGGATTTTATTTCTGTTACCAAATCATTTGGGGATAAATTTAAAGTTTTAAAAGAAAGTCCTAAAATGATTGGCATCAAAATAGGCATGTAGTAACCCCCAAGTGCCCTATCACCGTAGGAATGCTCACCAAATAAGTGTATATTAGTTATATGTCTGGCTGGCTGGCTATCTTGTTGAGCTATCTTGTTTTTAGGGGGAAATGGCGTTGTTTCTAACACACAGAAAGAGTCTCTGCTGAATTAAAATCTTTCTCTGCAGCAATATCTATTGAGAGGTGCTGACTGTTTTGCTACAGCATGCAACTCAAAAGTGGCTGGAAATATGCAGCTTTGGGAGTCTACAGATCATTGCAGGAGCTAAAGGTCTAGTCATTTTTTTTTCTAACAAAGGTAATCTGCAGCAGCTGGTAACCGAGGAAGTCTCTGCACAGGTTTGTGCCAAGAATATGCCCTTGTGAAGGGTTATTGTGAGTATAGGATTAAGGTCCTTTTGTTTTGTAATAGGGTAAATTTGTTGCGAACCGGCAAGATGGGAAATGAGATACAAAGATGTGATAATGCATTATGCTTTTGGTAAACTTCTGAAGCTTAGCTTTGTTCCTGAGATGATTACAGGTGTTTCAGTTTCAATCAGGAAATGTTTAAAACACATCAAAATCCAGCATTTGTAAAGTATTTCATAATCTTTGTTATAAAGTTTTATTTTCCCTTCTTTACTTCAGCCAACCAGATATCTTTCAGTGAAATTTCTGGTCAAGAATAAAACACTGTTCTAAGAAAATTTTTAAAGAATTGCCAGACAACTTGATTATCTGAATTAAAGGAAAGTAGGAAGTATTAATATTTTACCCTCATTACAAAAAACTTTTAGAACTATATTTTAAGTTATTGCTTTATGAGATTTTTAGGTCCCAGCTATAATTATGACCTCTATATACTTAAAGATAAAATATTTAGAAAACAAATAAAACTTAATCTAAAACCATAGGCCAGTCTAGGATTCCACCATAGATCCAAGAAGTGGTTGATGTGATTTAGGATATATGGTCCTTTATGATCTTTATCATAGAAAGAAGATGAGAAGTCAGATGGGAGAGTGATTATAAGCTATCCAAAAGTTAAAATGCCTGCACCATAGACTTAAAATATGTTGTCATTGTTGCAGCTGGAAGTAAAACTACCCATCAGCCATTACTTGGTCTTTGCTCTACCTGACTGATTAAAATTCTGTCTGTATAGTTGTCAGGTTGACCGAGCAGGTTTTAAAAATTAATGTTAAGTTTTCAAATTCCAGTTGCTGATGTTTCCTTTGCATATCTAGGGATTTAGAAGTATATGTATAAGTGGGTTTTGTCATGTTGCATATCTGTTTAGATCTGTGGACTCCACTAGTTCCAAACTGTAACTCCGTAAGACTGCTGATTTGACATTTAGCAGTGACCATATGTGGACTGCACTATAAATAATGTGCTTCTTGGAGCTGAATGGTGTAGCATTACTATATGGCTTTTCTCTCTAGTCTTCATTGTGTCATCTGTAGTGAGCTATAGATTTTTTTGTTTTGGGAATTTTTACAACTTGTTGTTTGCATGGGTTCACCTAGTAGCACTTGGTTTTTGCTTAGAGTCTTTAATACACAATCAGCAAAGCTTACAATCCACTCAAGAGACTTGCCATTTTTGTCACTGTTGAAAATGAGCTAAATGGTATAAATTGAATGTGGCTGTCAACTAAAAGAAAATTCAGTGTGGAATTAGTATTCATCTAGTCACTGACATAATTGTAGTATAGTTTTCTCTTGAGACATGATATTCTATTTCCTATTGAAAATGTGGAATCAGCCCCACACGGTGAAGTAAATTTTAATCTGTATTTTGGCAGGCTCCCATTATACAGATTGGTGGTGCTCTTGCCAAAATGATCATTGTAACTCTGGTGGTGTACAGCTTCATGGAGCAAAGTTCCTGGGAAAGTTTTCTACTTGGTATTTAATTAATAAAAATGTTGAGGAATGGATGAAACAATAATGAGTTGGTTTTTTGTTTTTGTTTTTTGGCTGGTATTGTGTTTTCAGCATATTCGTAGTTGTTTATAATATACATTTCTTGCTATAAATGATGTTCCCATTTAAAAATTATATTCTTTCTCACACATATAATACAGAGGAACAAAGGGTTAAAATATGGCACTTTAATTTACATTCAAGTTTAGAAATATAAAAAAATGTAAAGGCCAATTTAGATAATCTAGGTGAAAAAAGTTTGAGTTTTTAGGTCAGCTTCATAGTTTAACCAAAATTAAGAAAAACTTCATGCCTAGCCAAAGAAAATGCTGCACTGCCACCATTTTTGGAGTCTCAAGCACAGAGACTAACAAATAGGTTGTGGGAGGAATTCTCTGGCGGTCCAGTGATGAGGACTCTGCACTTGCACTGCCGAGGGCCCGGGTTCAATCCCTGGTCGGGGAACTAAGATCCCACAGGCCGTGCCACACGGCCTGAAACAAAAAAAACAAATAGGTTGTGGGAGCTCTGTGAATCATGTGGAAAACCAGCTTTTTGCCTACTTCCCTTGGGCAAAGTTCAGTTGCTTTATTAATAGTGTATTTCCCTGCATTTCTTCCATGTGCATTTAAATTATAAACAGCCTGTCACTGTACATGCCCCTTTGTTAGTCACAAACCAGGCTGTGTTAAAAAAGAAAAAATAAAATCTATTATTTATTTTTGCTTCTATGAGATTATAACTAAATCGCAAATTATATATTTTATTTAAAAATAAAAAACTGAAAGTTTTTTAGTCGCTATTACAGTGACCAAAATAGTAAATTGTTACTATTTCAGAAGTTAAATAGTACTCATTGCCCATGTTAGGTCTAGATTACCTGTTAGGACTACAAATTATTTACTGCAGTTTACTGTTATAACATTCACGGGAATAATTGGCAACCTAACGAGAGAGAGTAGATTAATGATTTTCATAGGCTGGCCATTGAACCCCTTGCTCTTTCACAGTGAAAGTTCAATGAACATTTTGATCACTTCAGATTAGACAAGTCTGCTTTGTTCTACTTTGTTATAAGGTATTTTGGTGTGCCTTTCTTGTTACCCATCATCCTTAAGCCTGTTGGAGTTTTGACTAGTGTTTATAAAACTTTTTTCTTTTTTTGGTAAGAAAAAGGACCATAATGAATACTAGTCATTTCTCCAGAGTCACAGAACTGCCTTTTTTCCTCCAAAAGCAGATAGGCTGAAATGGTAGGAAAGGTTTAGATTTTCTGTATTAGTCATTCACTTAATCTAGGAGGTTGGTGAGGGGAAGACTTTCTGGGAGATACGCCTATTATTTTTGTTGCGTTTGTTATAACTGCAAGGACACAGAGTGGCATGTTAATAATTTTAATATAACCCCTGACAGTTCATCCCCTGTGCATACTTGGGGAAGTAGATTTAATTAAAGAACAGTTTTCACCTAAAGTTTTAGAAGAGAAATGCCACTGCCATTTTGTATCAATAGTTTTTTTGAGAAGGTGACAGCCATCTTGAGTGGTTTTGTAAAAGTGGTGCTAATGTGTATAACCCTAAATTTTTCTTTTTCCTCCTTCTCCCTTTAACATTTGCTTCTCCTTTCACTGTTGTCAGTCACAACACGCTGCTCTTGAATCTCTCAGCTGGTCTTGACTCGTGAATTTACTTATGCTTTCACTCTTCTTTAATAAATACATTAATTGCAAGCAGTGAATTGAAAACAAGACAAAAAAAAAAAAAGACCGTTAGTGATTGGACAGTTTCTTACTTTGTGTTACATTTAACTGTTCTTTTGACAGCCCAGTTTTTAAAGCCAGGTTCGTATGGAAATGCTTTCACTCCACTTGCACTGCTTTTGGAAATAGCATACTGCTTCATCTGTCTGTTTATTTTAGTGCATTCATAATATAACACAGCATAATGTCTCATCTCCACTTAGCCAAAAGAGTGAGTTTTCTTAAATTAAAAAAAGGGACAACAATTTTTGTCAGCATGGTTTAATACCGTAAATCTGTGCCAAGTATAGTTACAAAATTAGTCCGTTAAAAAATTAAACAATACTTCCGTCAGCTACATAATCTTAGAGTCATTCTGCTATCCTTGTCCTTCCCATAGTTAATTCAGTTGTAGGAGTTATGATGATGTAAAACAATGATTTTATGTACAGGTAAGTTTATTTCCACAGTAGTATTATAAAGCCCTCTTTATCTTCCTTTTCTGCTAACATTACTTGTATTAAGACTTACAAAAATTTTTTTAACGATAAAGTTATTTATAAATAGTTAGGCATTCTATACTGGGATTACACATAGCCATAGCATTTTCTCATTCTGTCAGTTGCTAGCAAAAAATAATCTCTAGTGACCTTTTGTGCACAGTAATGATTTTGTATATATAGGTTTAAAACAAATGCATGTTTTGTTTTAGAAACAGACTTCTCATTATCATTTGCCACATTTTTGTTTTCTTTTAAAGTATCCCGATCTTTGTTCCTCTGATCAATGAAATTCAGCCCAGTTTTCCAGTTGGCATCCTGTCATAAACTCATAGAAGGAAGTTGACCTTTTTTTAAATTTTTAAACAGAGCATTGGGGAGGCTTAATTTTCCTTTTGTAACTTACTATCAGAGAATATAATAGTGAAATAATTTTTTTCTTTCCTTTGTAACTCCGAGGAGCATTTTACCGTTGAATATGGAGCTGGAAGATAAAAGCAATTTAATATGAGATTTGATTCTAATTCAGAGACTAATTGGTTTAGTTGACTTCATAATTTGATTTCAGGAAATATGAGATTATTTTCAAATGGTGATACCCAATTAATATTATAAATTACATTTTAATGCATACAGAACACTTTGTGTTTAAAATTTTTAAATTTTTCTTTTGGATGAGTAACATCATTTTATCTCATACAGTGTTAATGGTTATTTTAGCTTTGTCTCTGTACTTCGCAGTATTTGTAAAAAGCGAAGAATTGGACAAAGGTCTGCAGAGTTTTCTAAGATCTTGAACCCTTACACAAAAGCTGACATTTAATTGTTGTTTCTGGTGTCTTTTCATGTGGTTTACATTGAAAGATCTTTTCCACTGTGCTCCTAGGAAGATGAGACATTATGTATATTGGTTTTTTTCCCCTACATGCACTAATGGTTCTTTACTGTTAACTTACTGCTAGGCCTGTTTCATTCTAACATTTTAGTATTTTTGTTAGATTACATGTTGAAATGCATCACTCAGTCTGTGCTTGAGCTCATTTTATTTTTCTGTTTAATCAATTTAATTTCTTATTTTACTAACCTCACTTTTTTCAGTTTAATATTGGCTGCATGCTAGTTAAATATTTATATTTATATATATATATTAAAAAACCAATCAAGTCTAGCCTGGATTTTGCTCTGATTGTGTTTTCATTTCTAGTGGTGGGGCAGTCTTACACTTACAACTTACTTTGTATCATGAAAGCCTGACACATAAGCAGAATAACTAAACACAATGTAGATTTTCTTTAAAAAACTTATAAAGTGGTGCTGTCTAGGTGGTGGATATGATTGTATAAGTACCTTGATTTTTTGCTTTTTAATGTTAGTTTTAAACTTCATAAGTGTATTCTTCCCCTTTTCCCCTTCCCTTTTTTCTCCTTTTAAAAGTGTTATGTACAAAAGTTGCCCAGCACACCATCAGAAAGGACCCTTACCCTGTATGTTCTTCCCATATAAAATACTAGCAAGTATTTCTTTTTACATTAATGCCCCCTTTATTGGGCACATTTACCCTATTATTAGCACCTTTTTGCATGCATATATGTAGAATTATCTCTTGTTCATCACCTGTTTAAATATCACTAGGAAGGGAAGAATATATTATTGGAATATTTTTGGTTTGTCTCTCTGTTCTGTCTGTCAGGATAATATTGGACATCGCTTACTCCAGAAACATGGGTGGAAGCTGGGCCAGGGATTGGGAAAATCTCTTCAGGGTAAGTTTTTTAAATATACCAAAAAAAAAAAAAAGAAAGAAAAAGAAAATGTTTCTGATGGCAGATCTTATGCCTGAGTATATTTGTTGTCTTTCTTTAAAAAGTGTTTGGGTTTTCCCACTTGCCTTTTACTCCCCAGAATAGTCTATTTTTCCTGTGACTATATTTTAAATCACTATTAAGCTAATAATTTGCAAGAGTAAGCTGCTGTGTCACAGATACTTTCAGATCAGACATACTGTGTGTGGCTCAACCTGTTTTAAGTTTCTTTTGGTGGAGGTGATGGGTGGGTGGAGGTGATGGGTGGGTGAAGTAAATGAAGTACATAGTATTGGAGTGTGCTTTCTTTGTATTATTTAGTGATGTTGTATTGTGGCTTCAGTATTATAAAGAAAACCATTCAACAGCAGAGTTTAATTTTTGCCCTCCCAAATTCTCCCTGAAGCTGGTGATGCCCTGGTTCTTTTTCTGTAATCAGAATCCATGTAGTAGTAGAGAGAAAAATTAACCTATATGAAACATAAGATGGAAGCAGAGGCTTCTTAGGGTTCTCTGAGAGGCCATTTCTCAAGTTCAGATCAGTCTCTGGGAAAGGTATGGCTTAAAGTTTCCATTGCATTTATTTTTTCTTTTAACTATACTAACCATTTGGATAACAAAACACTAACATTTCTGCTTCTGAATTCTTGCTAGTTGGAAACCAACCAACCAACTCCGTTCACTTTTTAGCTCCCTCATATTCAAGGGGTACTGTTTGTTCTTTGCAGATGTGAACACTACCTCAGAAATGATGGAAATCATTGCACTTCTGCTTCTGGTCATGGAGGGTCTTGTTGTATAAAGGGATCTTTGGGGAGAGGGGCGCTACTGTTGACTAATTCTTTGAATTTGGGAGATGAATTTCCACAATTTGAATGGGAAGTCTGATCAGTTCAAATGTGTATATTAAGGGGCACAAGAGGACAGGGCATGAAGCAGGATGTTTCAGTCTTTAAAACCTTTGCTTTTTATATTTTACATCCACAAATTCTATTCAGTGGTAACACAAAGGAAATGCTCAAAAAATATATTTCAAATTAATATTTATTACTAAGCATTCATCTATTCTTTTGGGCAGATAGAAAGATTTGATCACCATTAAACTTGTTTTCCAGTGGTGTAAGAACTTATTGCACACGATATAAAGAATACAGTTGAGAGCAATTAGTATGGCATAGACCATAGATTTTGTAAGAGTCCAGAAGAGAGACAGGTAATCAGGACTAAAGTAGAAATGACTTCTTGATAGGATTAGTCCCAGTGGTTTGCATAGTTAAGTGTTGTGTTGGGTTGAATTGAATGGAGGCGATAGTTCAGAATAAGGTCTGAAGGTTGGATTTGATCTTTCCCTACTATTTGAAACCTCTCTTCCTATTCAGAGATTCCCAGGAGCATTGCTGATTGTTACTCTCTTTGTTCAGGGACACAAGGGAGTAGAACTGGGGGGCATTTCATAGGGGCTAGCAAATCTGTTTGAATCCTAGAATTTTTCGTTGTAAGCATCAGAGACTTTAAAGTACAACTAGAACCTGCAGAGGGAAAGGGAGTGAGGGACATACAGACGGTGAGTTTAAGAAAGGTGAGGTAAATGGATACTCACCTATTTTTGGGTGATGGAAAATTATTATTGCTTCATTTTAAGAACACTTCTGAATTTGGTTCTCTTTAAACTTTGAACTCCTTGAAAAGAGAAATTAGGTTTTATCCATATTTCACCTTCATCTCTATGGTGATAGGAATGTAATAAGCACTCAGTAACTCATAAATCCATTATTTATTTAAAATAACACGGAAATTTGAAGCCCATCTTTTTTTTTTCTTTTTAATTGTGGCAAAACCCACATAACATAAAATTGCCATCTTAACCATTTTTAAGTGTACAGTTCAGTAGTGTTTACTAAATTCACATTGTTGTGCAAAAGCCCATCTGCCTTGAACGGCTAGTACAGTCTTTACCCTTCAAAAAGAATGGAACCTTATTTATTGCCAATATTAAGGGGTGACTTTAATTGTCTTGTAAATGGCTCTTTTATTTTTTAGTGTCACATTCAACGTTGTGCAGGCATTGTGCTGGTTTCTCTTACATAGCTCTTTCTGTAATACCCACATGATTTGACCTAGAATACAGCCACCTTTATGGTATATTGAGGTAATTGATGACGATTTTTTTCATTGTACCAAACCTTTTCTATAAATAACCACTGAAGAAAGCCCTGTTGCTCCACTGAAAATCATGCCTCCTTACTATTGTATAGACCAGTCACTGCAAATAATTTCTAGGCTCATGGCTTTGTAAGTTCTTTGCATTTACTCGTTTATTGTCAACCTTTAGTTCCTTTTATTTGATTTTAAGGCTCTAACATTTTTAACATGCAACCATCCACTAAATTTAAACCTGATCTTTTTAGGATTTTTTGTTAACGTTTAAAAATTATTTCAACCCATGCAAGATTTTCACAAAGGGTGCCAGTCCCTGGGGCTACAGTGTATATAACTTGTCACTGGATAGGTTGGAGAATAGGGCATGCTAACTCTGAAGCAAAATTATCTGTGGTACGATAGAAAATTAAACTTTGTAAAGTGGGTTTAATTTTGTACTTGAATTTCCCTTATTATTCACCTTTTGTTCTCCCCTAGTATTTATTAAAATATTTCAAAAGTTAAGAAAAAATAGGAACTTGTGTGTGTGTCAGGTAAGTGATTATTAGTGTTAAAAAAATAAAAGACCTGTAGAAAAGATATGTTGACAAGATGTCTGAAGGAAACAACATAAAGAAAGGCCTGGGCTTCCCTGGTGGCGCAGTGGTTGAGAGTCTGCCTGCCGATGCAGGGGACACAGGTTCGTGCCCCGGTCCGGGAAGATCCCACATGCCGCGGAGCGGCTGGGCCCGTGAGCCATGGCCGCTGAGCCTGTGTGTCTGGAGCCTGTGCTCCGCAACAGGAGAGGCCACAAGAGTGAGAGGCCCGCATACCGCAAAAAAAAAAAAAAAAAAAGGCCTGTTGATGAGAAATGTTATGGACAGTTTTTTATTGTAGAGGCAGAGGATGTGTTTAATTTGGAATAAAGCAACAGCAAATGATAGTTGTATTTTGTGGCTGTTGAGCTGGATTTGGTTCTTGAAATTGTTTTGTAACCTTCCGGCAGCTTTGAAATGGAATGGAATGTAGCTCAGAATCTTTATTTTGCCATGCAATAGGTAAGTAGGTGTAGCCCAGAAGTGGTGCCTGAACTTCCTTTGTTATATTGTCTAAGCCGTTTGCTGATTTGGCTGATTTTTTGGTCACAAAGAAAAGTTCAGCACCTGAGAAAAATGAATGAGGTGTGGTATTATTTCATATTTCACGCTGTCTAGCGGGTTCAGTCAGTAACAGACAACCAACATTTACTGAGCTAATAATGTATTCTAGTTATACCAGTTGTAAATAGCATAAGCCATGGGCAAAGTAGATAAGACATCGTTCTTGCTCTTCAGGCTTATTTTCCAGTCCCCCAAGTCTTGCTTTTTAAACTTACTGTATACCTTTGAAGATTTTTTAAGGCCAGGGGCCACGTTTTATATTTTTTAGTATGTGATCAATTGAATATTTAATTGACAAATTGCTTCAAGTTCCTTGAGAGTAGGGATTCTCTTTTATTTTTGTTTAAAAGTACTTGGTGTAGGGTATGAGGCAGTGTGAGCAGCATTTGGAAACGTAAGATTTCGGTTAGAGTTTGGCTTTGCCACTTACTTTAAGGGACAAGTTGCCATAACTGAATTATTTTTCTCAGCAATAAATGGGGATTAAAATCTCTGCCTCTGTTCTCACAGAGTGATTATGAGGATAAAGTAAATTAACGTAAGTGAAGTCACTTTATACAAACTGTAAAACACTATATAAATGCTACTTGTTATTAACACCTCTGATGTATAGTGTATATTTAGATATTTTAACTGAATTTGAGATAATCTGTCTTTAGGTCTTCATCAAAAACCTAAATATAATAAAAATCATAAATAGAGAAGCCTCTGTCTTGCTACTCTCTATTTCCCAGCATTTGTAACAGTAGTAGTTTAATATGATAAGCTAGATATCTGACTCCCAGATCTGTGCTTTTAATGCTGTATATGTTGTAGGGTCCTGAGCCCCTAATTTTGGTGTTTGTTTCAGTAATTCTGAGCTCTTAGTTAGAACATGTAAAAGAGCCTCAGTCACTGAGCAATGGTGTTGTGACAACTGTATAGCAACCCAGAAAAAAGAAGTTGGATCCCCACTGTCATACCTTACCCCAAAATATATTCCAGATGAATAAAATATTTAAATGTAAAAGATGAAATCATGAATAGATGAACAATGGGATAATTATTATTTTAAAAATAATCTTAGGGCTTCCCTGGTGGCGCAGTGGTTGAGAGTCCGCCTGCCGATGCAGGGGACACGGGTTCGTGCCCCGGTGCGGGAAGATCCCACATGCCGCAGAGCGGCTAGGCCCGTGAACCATGGCCACTGAGCCTGCGTATCCAGAGCCTGTGCTCTGCAACGGGAGAGGCCACAACAGTGAGAGGCCTGCATACCGCAAAAAAAAAAAAAAAAAAATCTTAGAATGAGGAAAACTTTTCTAACTTTAAATCCAAACCCAGAAGACATTTAAAAAAAGGATAAATTTGACTGTATTTCATCATAAATAAGGTAAAAAACCAGAACAACAAGAAAAAAACAAACTGGGGGAAGTATCTGTAATATTTCATTACAGACAAAGGACAGATTTCCTTATGTATTTATCATCAGTTTGTAAAAGACTTATAACCTAAATAGAAAGGGAGAAACGATATGAGCACTGTTTACAGAAAAGTAATGCAAATGACCTTTAGGTGTTTGAAAATATTCTCAGTCCTTTTCATATTAGAGATAATGCATATTAAACTATGAGATATCATTTTTCACTTGTTGGCTTGGATAAGGCTTAAAAAAAAGAGTAGCCT